TTTTTTTCATGTTAATATCCATTACATATCAAAGTTCATTAGCAATTAACAAACAGTAAAATAAAATGATAATTAACAAATTTATTTTTCAAACAACTAATTATGTTACTATAGTGAGCTTGTTTTACAGAGATTTTAATTTTCATACGAACAATTAACATATCAATATATAAACTAACAACTAACCAGTATTAAGATAAATAACAATTAATAAACACATTTCTACGGAGCAAAATCAATATAAACTGCTGATTCAACTTTGCCGGATGTTCTCAACTTTAAAAAAAAAAAAGTAACATATTTTTAATTAGATAATAGTTATGAGTAAATTAATAAATAATAAATTAGCAAAAAAGTTGACAGCTACTTTAAGCTTTTCACATTGGTATCTTCAAAATCATTAACCTCGTTACTTTTAACTAGTAATTATTAGGAGAGATACAGAGAGAGAAATAGAAAGAAAATGTACAAGTTGTTTTTTCAGGCTGAGGAGCAAGATTGCACAGAAGGCGCCAGTCGGAAGTGGTCATGGTGCGGAAAACGACAGAGAGCAGATAGAAATGGCACAATGAGTGAGTAGCAAGGACTGACAGCAGTTGGTGAACGACAGATGTGAGAACTCTGGTGGCGGCTTTATTTTCCGGTGAGCCTCGATAGCTCTTTTTCCGGCGGAAGAAAAATATTTTTTAGGGTTTCGTATCTTCTCAAATATTGAGTTAAGAAGGCGTACATCACAATAGGTTTTGGTTTTGTTATATAGTTTCCTAAATAATTGGTATCCTAACAAAATAGGATTAGCTTTCATTTTTTTTTGTGTGTTGGTAAATTGGTTATTTTTGTTTAATGATTTGTTTGTCTCCAAATAATATACGATTGGTATTTTTTTTAATTAGTTAAGTGTAAACAATAACTCAAAAATCTTAGAGGGCCATAAGGTTGATTTTATAATTTGTTTTTGAGTTTGTTACATGAACATACCGTATCCAGGCATTACCAAGTCAAAAACCAGGGGGGCCATGGCCCCCAGCCCCTTAGAGGCTCCGCTGTTACATGAACATACTGCTGTTATATTTAAAACAAAAAAATTAAATGAATTTGTTTTTGAGTTTGTTACATGAACATACTGCTGTTATATTTAAAACAAAAAAATTAAATGAATTTATAAATATCAATGTTATATTTCTTTTTCCACTTCCAAAACCTTATAATAATAATACAAAATTTTATCAATAAATGTTTGAGGATGTGTTTTTAATTTTAAATAAATAGCTAATAATTTATTTTTCACTAATTTAAATTCCATTTAATAAAACTTTTGGGCTATTTAATTCATCTATGTCCAACAAAATGGTGTTAGACTGTTAGGCCCCGTTTGATACGCATCTTTTCAGGTCCAGACAGATCTTTCTGGCTGAATGGACCGGAAAGACTGTTTGATTTGCACAAAAAAATGGGTCTTTTCCGGTAAGATATGTCTTTCCCAGAAAGCCCCAAAATCATATCTTTCTGGCTGAATGGGCTGGAAAGACAATTATGCACCAAACCCCGCATCTTTCTTTCTTTCTTGGATTATTAATTTTTTTAAATAATTTTTTTTAAAATTTATTTTTTATTGAATTATTACTTTTTTAATGTATTATTTTATGTTAAGAAATATTATTTTAATATATAATATTTATTTATTAATAAATATTATTTTATTGGATTATTAATTTCTTTTAAATAATTCTTTTTATTGGATTATTATATATTCATAAATATTATTTATAATATATAATATTTATATATTAATAAATACTACCTTATTGGATTATTGATTTCTTTTAGTTAATTTTTTTAATTCATTTTTATTGGATTAATTCTTTTTTTTTTGGACAACACCACAACCATCCTAATTTATTTTAAAAAATCTCATCCATCACACCAGTATCGGACATGAACCGGGTCATTTTTCATCATTCAGCACAGTCAATCAGATGTACAATCAAACAGCATGGTTTCTTTCCCAGTCAGAAAACTTTCCCAGACAGCATTTTACCATACAACACTTTCCCAGAAAGAAACTATCAAACGAGACCTTAGTATTTGACTACACTGAGCCCAAATTTCCAGTATTAGGCTATTGATTGTAATTTGCTATGCCTAAAGCCTAATTGCGTTCCTGAAACTCTTTCATAGTTGCTTAGGCCAAGGTCATTGATGAATATAGTCAACTATAAATTTTGATATTATAGAGAAACAATAATTTTTAATTTATTTTAATAATTTTAACTGATGTTTTAGGATATTATAGAGAAACAACAATTTTAATTTATTTTAATAATTTTAACTAATGTCAACAAGATTTTTTTGTGATGATATTTGAAAATAGCTTAGTGGATAAGGCGGTTTTCCATTGTCATTCAATCATTTCCCGACTCTTCTCTCTCTTATTTTTGTTTGCGAGTCACAAATCTGATTTAGGCTAACTCGCTTGCCTGTTCGATATCCCTAAGGCTGTGAGGTATGAGCCTGTTAATGGGCGTTTTTACCTACGTGGAGGCACCTCAATGCCAGTATAACGGCACCAACACCGCCCCTCCTTGGTTTCTCGTTGCTTCCCGTGACCAACGTAACACCCTTTAATGCCTGTTTTTCTTTCTTTATTCCTCTGTTTTTCTGCTTTTCTTCTTCCTCGACGCTGTTTCAATAAAATGAACATTATCCCCTTTAGATGTTATGGAGAGAAGATGATGATGTGGCAGCCTTGTGTGAGGGTATGGATGTGAACCATACCCAAAAGTCTAACCCAAGTTCGTACATGCAACTTTTTTTTTTTTAATAATAATTTAAAGCCAAATATTATTATTATTTTTTATTTTTATAAATTTGGTGTAATTTCTTTTATTACTTTTTCTAAACTTTTATTTTCAACTTTGTTTTTATAAGTTTTTTTAGACTTAGTTTTTTAGAAAAGTATTATTTTACAACTTTTTGTTATATCATATTTTACAAATATACTTTTACTAATTCATATTTAGAAAATTTTACTTTTACAACTGTTTTGTATATTTTAAAGATTTTTCTGCTCTAACACACTAATTTTTTTCATTTTTTTCCTTACATATTTGTCATGTATTTACTATTTAGAATTGTAGAAACATATATAATATAATTTTTTTATATATATATTTGTTTTCACATTACCCTATAGAATCCGTTTTTAACAATGATTATTAATTAATTTATTTATTTTTATTTTGAAAAAACATCATAAATGGTCCCTGTGGTTTTCCAAAATCTGAAGTTTAGTCCCCGTGGTTTAAAAACCTCATAGATGGTCCCTGTGTTTTCAAAACTTTTGACGATTGGTCCTTATTGCTAACTCCGTTAAGTTTTGTCCGTTAACTAAAGGGCATTTTCGTCATTTCACGACCACATGGACCATTTATGATGTTTTCACTTATTTTAAAATAATAATAATAATAATAATAATAATATGCAAAACGGGTCTCTCTCTCTCCTCTCTCTCTCTCTCTCTCTCTCTCTCTCGTCTGCCTCACCTCCGATCATCATTAAACCCGCCCTCCCCTTTCCTCCACACAAATACGATGATAACCCAAACATGAAAATTAGAAAAATCAAACCTCTCTAAACCTGAAAATCAAACACCAAGCCATCGTAATGTTTTGTTTATTCAGATGCGATTAAAAGGAAGAGAACGATGGGGTCTTTGATATTTCAGCAATTTTGGTTCGGTTTTTTTGGTTCCAGGGTTTGAATGTTCTTTAAATCGATTTTTTTGCCATTGTTTATTCTGAGAAAGAAAGGTTTACCCACATTTTGAGGGTAAAGAGGAAGATTTGAACTCCGATTTTGAGGTTGAAGATAGTGATGGGAGGTTGATGGTGGTGGGGGTGGGAGGTTGATGATCTGAACTCTGGTGTTAAGTCCCCAGAAGAAGAAATTAACTTGATAAAGCAAGTATACGAGTAAGTAAGATCCATGGAAATCCATTTGTTCTTCACAATTATTGTTACAACTCGATTCATGTTTCTAGGTTTTGATTCGATTGGGAAATCCATATGTTCTTCAAGATTTGAAGAATTGAACTTCATTTTTTGTGGTGTTTTTTGTTCATTTTGGTGTGTTCACAGTGGTCAGGAGGAAGATATTTTTTTCCCTTTCTCAATTGATTACCTAAGTGGGTGGGGATGATGATGAACATGACAGAGGCCGGAGCAGGTAGCTTGAAGAGAACAAATGAGGTCGATGGTGGTGGCGCATCTATCAAAGCAAAAGAGAGTTGATGGCTAGGTAAAACTTCCCCAACGTTCTTCTCCCAAATCAACTTCTGATTGCTTAATTTGATTTCGTTTATATGAATCGAAAAGATTGGGGTGAGGGTTTTTCATTTCATCTGCTCAATTTCGATATCCTTTTCTTAATTGCACGTAATTTTTCATGGATTAAAAAAAAAAGGAGAAGAGAAAGGGGTGGATCGCAGACAACGATTTTGGTTGTAGGGAATATATGTTCGTATTGTGTGTGTATATGTGTTCTTGATGAGAGAGAGAGAGAGAGAGAGAGAGAGAGAGAGAGAGAGAGAGAGAGAGAGAGAGAGAGAGAACCCCTTTTGCATATTTATTTTAAAATAAGTGAAAACATCATAAATGGTCCCTGTGGTCGTGAAATGACGAAAATGTCCTTCAGTTAACGGACAAAACTTAACGGTGTTAGCAATAAGGACCAATCGTCAAAAGTTTTGAAAACACAGGGACCATCTATGAGGTTTTTAAACCGCGGGGACTAAACTTCAGATTTTAGGAAACCACAGAGACCATTTATGATGTTTTTTCTTTTATTTTTTCATAACCCATTTGTAAACGCCGTTGACTGTTAGGGCTATTTTATATTCAAAATAAATCGGTTCGATCCAAATCCACTCGACTTGAATTGTAACCCGTTTTCATCTCATTATCTTGACCCGTTAGTATCTAGGGTTTATGTTTTATTTTGCTGGCCATAAACCTCCTCCCACTCCTCTCTGTTTTGTCTACTGAACGATTTCAATGGGTTCCAAAAGCAAAAGCAAGAACAAAAATGGGGCAAAGAAAAATCCAGATGCTAACAAGGCTGTAGAAGTCGCCGGAAACCGCGTGTTCGGCGGCGGCAACAAAGCAATCACAGACGACAGGTTTGCTCTGTCGCAGAAGGATCCTAGGTTTCAGGATGTGCCCAAGCACAAAACAAAGGTGGCGATTGATTCGCGTTTTAGTCGTATGTTCACTGATAAGAACTTCTCTACTTCCTCTGCTCGTGTAGATAAGCGAGGCAGAGCTAAACAAGATGGAGATTCATCTCAAAGTGCTCTTAAACACTATTATCGAATGGATGCTGAAGAAAAGAAACAGAAAAAACGACCTGAGGAATCGGATGACGATGACGACGTGGAAAGCGACGAAGAGAAGGAGGAATCTGAGAGTGATGACGCCGAAATTTTGAAGGCTGTTAAGCAAACATCGTCTAAATTCAAATCAGCGCCGGAATTGGAAACGGAATCCTCGGAAGAAGAAGAGGAAAAGGAAGAGGAAGAGGAAGAGAAAGAAAAAGGTGAAGACGATTTAATGGATGATGATACTACAACGGATACAGATGAAGATGATGAAGCTTATCTAGAAGAGGAAACTACTGGTTTGCAGGTGAATCTCATTTATAATATTCTGTGCTATCATTTTTCCAAAAAATGATTATACTAATTTTCTGTTGTGGTTTCTATTGAAAATTTTGAAACTTAAATGGAGATAGCTGGAGGAGAATGTACCTGAAATTGACAAAGAAACTCACAGGCTCGCAATTGTTAATTTGGATTGGAATCAAGTTCGGGTGAGTGAGATTCTTTGTTCTTTTGCATTTACTCTGTTTGGAATCAACAACTGGTGAATGTTTATACAGAAGCACTAGGGTGCCACAGGGATAAGCAATTTGGTGTAATTGGTTATTTGTTAAAGTTTACTTACTCTGGCAAAAAAGGACCACTTTGCAATTTTGAAGACAAACTACATTAGTTTTAGCCTACATTTGACATACTAATGATGAGAGTAAAGATAATTTTTTTTTGGTAAAAGTGTGAAATTATACATAATTGGTTTCTAAACGTGAATGTGGATTATAGTTTCACTCTATCTATTCAGAACACTTTTGAACTACATGAACATGTAAATGATTATGGCTTTTCTTGAAACTGTTTTCTCTGTTCATATATGTAGGCATGGTTCAGTTCTCTTGATCATTTCCTTTATAGCTATATAATCTTTCAATGTGGTCAACTTTGTGCATGTATTTCCTAAAAGATTGAATCTACTATTATCATATATTCTTACTGCTATGTTTTTTTGGCTTGTTGTATGCAAATTTAGCCTTGGTACAAGCTATAGCTTCTTTATTATTGGTCTACTAGGAAGAAAATGTGATTTTTTGAGGGTACAGCAGGGTGTTACTTCTTTATCCTTCAATTATTGACCAAGAATACATGGTGATGCAGGATTGTGGCCATCTCAAAATTCATAACAATGATAAGGCTAAAATCTTTAAATAGAATACAATTAATCATTCCACTTTATAATTTGGACATGGACACATGACTACATGAGGTTAAAGTTAAAGAAGGATAATCTTATCTGTGAACTTTGATGAATGAAGATAATTTCTGTTCTGGACTTACTTGTTCTATTAATGATTAACCTATCCTTTGCTTTCTTTATCTGTTGTGCAGTCCCTAAACATTGCACTTTTTTTTCTTCTTCTTCTTTAGGCAGTTGACTTGTACGTTGTGTTAAGCTCATTTCTGCCAAAAACAGGGCAGATTTTGTCTGTTTCTGTATACCCATCTGATTTTGGACTCAAGCGTATGGAAGAGGAGGCAGTGCGGGGCCCAGTTGGTTTATTTGATGATGATGGGAAAAGTGATAGTGACAACAGTGATGATGACAATGAGATAGACAATGACAAGTTGAGGGCTTATGAACTAAGTAGATTAAGGTAAATGAATCTTGTTTATTAAAATAAAAGCTTTATAAAAGGGTTAAATGCAAGAAATAGCATAGCCTCATCCTTTCATTTCTTCTAATAAATTTCTTCTTATTAGAGCATTTCATTTATAAAATCCTACTCAATCATAGAGCATTATTCACTTCTAAATTGTAGAAAAAGTGAAAGTAGGATGCTATATTTGGACAGAAGGAACACTTTGTCAACTTATTTTTTGTTGTTTTTTGGTATCAGGTACTATTTTGCAGTGGTGGTATGTGATTCAGTTGCTACAGCTGATTACATTTATAGAACCTGTGATGGAATCGAGTTTGAAAGGTCATCAAATATGTTGGATTTGAGGTTTATTCCAGACTCTATGGAGTTTGAACATCCTCCACGTGATGTTGCAACTGAGGTATTGTCATTTCTTCTTATTACACCATTGTACTTTGAAAATTTTACTCAATTATATCTATGTAATTCGGTAGATTTTTGTAAGTATAATGTCCTAAGAGCATCTCCAATGGTAAACTTAAAGTTATTGTCACCTCATCATTTCATTAACTTTAACCTCTAGTTAAATGACCTCTCAAATGGTTAACCTTTTCAAATAGCTATTGTTTTTTTTTTTTTGAAACTATAAATAATCAATCTGCTACACCTCTACTTACTCTCACTTATTCTATAGGAGCAAGAAAGGAATTACATTCAAGTAGAAAGAGCATCTTTTAGTGGAGGGGTAAATTAGGTATTTTTAGTAATATAGTTTGTTATGTCAGAGTCAGATAGTATAAGAGGGTAGTGGGGTAGGAGAGTGGATTATCATCTTTTGTGAGAAATCTGGTATTTTTGTAATCATTTGAATATTGTTTACTGTTTTTTAATCAATACAGCGAGTAGTTTTGGGTTTTTTTTTTTTTTTTTTTTTGATTTCTAAATCCTATGTCAGTTCATAGCACATTCCTTATCTATTTAAATCCTAAGTCATTTTTTAAACACACAACATATTTTATAGACATTGAATGCCAAAACCAAACGAAAATAGAAATAATTATACCGTGTTTTTATTTTATAAACGTAAAATACAAATAAATCAATACGTCATAGTTATAAAAAAAGTTAAAAATATTATATAACCGTTATAAGTTTATTTCTCATAAATAAGATGTCATTAAATATTTGATAGAGCTAACTAGTAAATAAATAAAAAATATTCAAAACTAAAATATAGTTAAGGGGTAAAATGAAGTATGATTAGAAGATGAGGGGTAAAATATAAAAACATGAAAGTACATTGATCCCTTGAATGGGATTGAGTGCTTATTAAATAAAATGAATAGTAATAAATCATAAAAAAGTCCCCATTGGAGATAAGAAAAAAGAATTGAAAGTAGAATGCTATATAATACACACATAAATAAAATTTTATAATCTTTTAATGCTCCAAATTCCCAAATATTTTTGTTTCAGGCTCCAGCAAATTATGAAGGTGTAGATTTTCAAACTCGAGCATTGCAACAAAGTAAAATTGATCTTACTTGGGATGAGAATGAACCCCAACGTTCCAAGAAGCTTAAAAGGAAAATTAATGTTGATAAGGTCTGTAAAATTTGTGTAATATTATCTTTTCTTTTTGGGTTTATTGCATTTTTTGGCCCTGTGGTTAGTTGATATTTCTAGAAATGGTCCATTTTTTTCATTTTTAACCTTTTTGTCCTGAAAAGTAACCTTTTTTGTCCCCGAGCCGCTTAACATAATTGTTACGTCCATGTACAATGACGAATATGCCCTCGTGTTCTTTCTCTCAGCCTTCATCTTTATGTTATGTTCAAGAAACCCTGGATTTTGAAATCAAATGTGAAGTCAAAAGTTTTAACTTCACATTTGATTTGAAAATCCAGGGTTTCTTGAGAGATGAGGGCATATTCGTCATTTTACATTAAAAAACAAAATTCAAAATCATAGCCATTACTAGAATCAAAACAAAGAAATTAGTTGAGCTCATAGTTTTTTGTTTGGTTTCTTGGAACATAAAGATGAAGGGGACGAAAGAAGAGGGCATATCCGTCATTTTACATTAACTTAAAGTCCAACTGTTAAGTTCAATCACTCAAGGACGAAAAACACGAGAAAAATACTTTTCAGGAACGAAAAATACGATATCTGTGAAAATCAACTAACCACGGGCGAAAATGTATTTTACCCATTTCATTTTTTAGATGATATGTAATTAATGATTCATAATACTATGAAGGAATCGGAGTATGTTAAGGATGAAGAACAATTAAAAGAATTCATTGCTTCAAGTGAAAGTGAATCTGAATCAGATGAAGAAGGTGAAAACAATAAAAACTCCGGAAAGAGACAAAAAACAGACAAATACCGCGCTCTACTCCAATCCAATTCCGATTCCGATTCCGACGATGATGACACCGGAATGGACATGGAAGTCACTTTCAACACCGGATTAGAAGATCTGAGCAAAAAAATCCTCGAGAAAAAAGACAAAAAATCTGAAACCGTTTGGGAGGCTAATCTCCGCAAGCAAAAAGAAAAAAAGAAAGCTCGAAAAAGCAAAACCATGGATTCCGACGACAGTTATGATTCCGGTCGGGAACCCATGGAGGAATCCGGCGACTTTTTCGCCGGAGATGCCGATAATAAAAAGGATAAAAAAGGTAAAAATTTGGATAAAGAAGGTGAAGCGAGTAAAGAAGAACTTGAATTACTACTTGGTGATGATGATGGGAATGTGAAAGGGTATAATTTGAAACGGAAAAAGAGTAAAGGGCAAAAAGGGAAAAAAGAAGGTATGGATGAGGAGAAGATACCCACCATTGATTATGACGATCCACGGTTTTCATCTCTTTTTACCCGACCCGATTACGCTTTGGACCCCACGGATCCTCAATTCAAAAGGTACGTTTTTATTTAAAAAAATATTAAAAAATTTTGGTTTTTTTACGAAATTGCCCCTTATGTTATTGGGGTTACAGGAGTGCGGCTTATGTGCGTCAGGTTGCACACAAGCAACATAAAGGTGATATGGAGAGAAAGGAGGGAGAACATAATAATGAGTCATGTGAAGAAATTAAGGCTTCAAAAGTGGATGATAGAATTGATTCAAAGAAAGATAAACATGAGATGTCGATGCTTCTCAAGTCTGTTAAAATGAAATCAAAACAACTCCCGTTGTTACCTTCTTCTGATGCTAAGAAATCCAAGAGGAAAGGGAAATAAAGGCATAAAATTTGATGGGATTATTGTTCGTGTGAGATCGGTATTCAATTTTTGTTTTTTTTCCCCTACAATTTTAATGTTATGGTTTTAAAGTTTTGTATTCATTACCATATTTATTTGTTTTGGATTCATTTTTAGAGAGGTTAATTGCAAAAAAAGATAGAAACATAATATTTATTATAGCATTCTACTTTTGTTTCTTCTTATTACAACATTATATTTTAAAAAAATCCATTTAGTTATTTCAAGGTGTTGATAAAAAATAAATTGAAAGTACAGTGCGATATCGGGTAGAATTTTAGAGTAAAATGATTTGAATAATAGTGGTCGTGGATTATAATATTATATATTGAAAAATCTAAAAGTGTTTTAAGTAGGAGAGAAGGGATATGAAAAAAATAAATTAAAAGCACAATGTTGGTAATATGGAAAAGAGTAAGATGTCATTGTACATAAATAAAAGCAGGATGCTACAATTGCATCAACTTGGAAACCAAAGAAGAAAGACATCATATTTTATTAGTAGATGTAAACCATAATCCATCTCAACAATCAAAACTATATATATATATACACCAAAACTAAATAAGAATCAAATGTACCTCTATATGTATGTGATATGATTCTATACTCTATACCGTGTATCATAGCATGATATAGCATGATATACCAATGTAACTCTACAAATGGCAAAAAAAAATTACAACAAAACCATGAAAAAATTGGCAACAATAACTATGAAATATGTATACGATGATGTCATCAACCCATATGCACCATTTCCTGGCTGAACCTGACTCGAGCTCGGTGAACCGTTCCTAGCCGTTGCCTCGGGTCCCACAGACATAGACGGTGAACCCTTGGGTGAGGCCCGTGGACTTATTGGTAATGTATTTGATTCTATAGCATTGTAACCTAAAGATAAAAACCATCATGTGGTTAATCATTTAACATAATGGGTAAAAGTAAAACAGTCATATAATAAGTGTTGGTTAAGATTTACTCACAATTAGAAGGTTTCCAACCCAAAATATTCTTCTCGCCATCGAATACTACTCGATACCCCGTCATAAAGTTTTCTGAATAAAAAAAACAATGTAATATTTATATTATATCTGTGGGAACGATCATTCTGTGTGAGTTTGTCACTCAGAATGATCGTTTAGTACAGTTGTAAGATGTAAATCTTATAACTGTACTAAAATAAATGGAAGGGGATCACGAGGGTTAGGTTACTTACGTCCAATGATATTTATGTCCTCGCTTTTCACAATACCCAAACAAAGCACGGATCCACCATCCTAAATAACCACAATAACCCGATAAGTTTAAAATTTAAACAAGTTAAAATAGATACAAGTAAAGAAAATATATTAAAAAAAAAATTGGTCTTACTTCTAGAGGAACATTAACGAATGGATTGGTGATGGAAAACTGGTCTCCTCCTTTCATTGTTAGATTCAACGGTGGCGCTTCAAACGTCTGTTGGCCCGGACTGCACAACACAAATGTTGTCTGGATAAATGATATTTGAGACAATAACAATATACTTTGGGAAATGAAAGTAAATAATGAACAATGGCAAATTTGTAATTAGGCATGACTTAATGAGGGAAGCCTCGTTTCTCTAGCTTTCTGACTTTCTCTATTAAGTCGTTCTTTCTGTACTGACCTTATGTCGTAGCAATACTCGAAAGGAAGGTCACTTGGTTGACTCCGAGTCTCCTCTGTCTGTGAAGCAAACTGCAAAAACATAAAATAAATCATGCGAATAAGTCGGAATTTTTTTTTTTTTTTTTTTTTAAAGTACAATGCTATAATAGAAAGAAATTAAAGTAACGATACTTACGCTTTCACTAATAATCGAGTATGCGGGATCATTCAAATAAGTGAATGAAGTGCCAGTGTCGAATATCGCATTGAAATCAACATTTGTAACATTGTCTCCCACAACTGTTTGTGTCATGCTAATGTTATACGTTCGACTAGTGGATAAAAATTTCATGGATTAGGGTTTGTTTATCATACCAATTAAGGTAGATTAGAGTTTTCAAAATTAATGTCTTAATACACAAAGTAAACTAACTTACTGAGGTGTATCAAGATTCAATGGTGTTTCTCCTTGATCCAAACTTCCTTTATCTCCAAAATTGATTCTTCCAGCTCCATCAGAACCAAAACACATAGAGAATGAATTAGCAGTAAGACCACTACTTGCTAAAATACTAGAAACCGACATGTTCTCCATTCCAAGCCCAAATAGCCCATTTGGAGCTGCCCCATCTAAAAATGACCCCGTTTGGATCATTCCACACCTACAAATTAAAATAGCAAATGACATAAATACCCTCCTCTTCCTAATCATCATCATCATGATTATAAAGAATAGATACGTACCCAAACTTGATCTTTGCATCAACGGCTTTCAATGAAGTGTCTTCTGTTGTTAAATGTAAAGTGTCTTCTATCAAGATCCCAGTTGATGAAGTGTTACTTGAAAGATAATTCACTTGATATGGACAAATTTCGGGTCTTGCTGAACATTGTTTTCTTAATCTACACGAACTACTATCACAAGGAACTCTTGTACTTGTTGAAGACGTATTTGGGCTGTATATATTGAAATCAAGCTGCTAAGAGAATACACAATCATCAGCTTCAGTTTTAGTTTTAGTTTTACTGTTACTGATACGATAAAAAGTGGTGATGAAATACGTACTCTTCCTGATCTTGTGACTAATCCTTTGACACAGCTTCGACAATCACAAGGTATCCAAAACAAGTCACTTCCAGTGTCGAGTGCGACAAGAAACCATAAACTTGGAGTTCCAACAGATACGTTTGCATAATGCAAGCTGCAAAATTTCCCACAAGATTTCAAGAATTATGTGTATGAAGTATAAACAATCAAGAATTTGGTTGTTCTTGGATTTTGCTCGCTAATTTAACAAATACCCAATTCGAATTTGATCTGATTACATCTCCGATGACGGAATTCCCCAAAATAAAGTCAATAAAGTAGGGATAATTTGTCATCGACATTAATAGAATTCAATTATTCTATTCAATTTCAATCTATGGTGAAAACGGAAACAGAATCGAAGGGAAATATGAAGTCAATAAGTAAAGATAAACAGAAGAGAAGCCTTACAATCCGAGAGAAGGAAGCTGATAAGTTTCATTGCCGTCAACAAACGCTAGAGAGGATTCGACGGTAGCGTTGCCGGCGCCGGCGAGACGGCGGCGATGGAAGAGACGGTCACGGTGGGCCATAGCTGAGTAATAATCGACTGAACCCATCTGAGGTAGGTGATGATCATCAATATCCAAAATACCCTTCACTGGATCAGAGTATCTATGATGTATATCGAATCCAAAGGTCCCAAAACCATGAATTAATCTTGAACCCACAAAAATCAATCCAACGAATACCAAAATCAAATTAGACCCAAAACCCATTTCAAATAATCAAGAGAATTTCGAGGGAGTTAATCGCATAAACGAAAAGGAAAAAAGAGAACACCCTGATGGAAATTGGAAATTCTCTTTTAACCGAAGTATGAAAAACTAGAAACAGAATAGATCTTTTAAAGGTGACATGTAAGTATCTGTATGTGTATATGAATCATGTATGTATATAGTTTTAGGGAGAGAGAAAGAGAGAGTTGCTACGAGTATAAGCGAAAAAAAGTAGCGAGTCTTTTCTGCCGTCTGTCTGTGTCATGACTCATGAATATGAACACGAAAGCAGAAAGCAGAAAGCAGTTTTTTTTTTTTTTTTAAATAATTTTCCACATTTTCCGGGAGAAGAGGAAAATGACGGTACGTCGACTTTCTCATTTGTGTTTACAACCACGGAATTGACTTTTTCTTTTTATTGAATTAACGAGTTATGTAAAAAATTGAGGCAAGCTTTGAGAAAAAATATTATTAATTTTTTAAGTGATTTGTATATAAAAAAAATATATATAATAATTTATGTTTTATATAGTTTTTTTAGTATAATATTTTAAACATAAATTGTTAAAAATTATGGTGTAATAACCAATTTCCTTATTATCTTATTTTTATAGAAGAATTCATTCATCTTCATCTACTCTAATAAATGAAAATCCATTTTGCCACATGTCAAACTCTTATAAGTTTTGACATTTGTCATTTTGTGGTATTTTTGAAATAAATAATATCCACATGCCAATTTCTAAGTTTTTTTTAATTTTTAAAATTTAAAGCCACATAGTATATATTAGTTATATAAGTAAAGTATTAAATGTAATAAAAATGATCATAAATTTCAATAAATATGTTTTTTTCTTCATTATTTTAAAATTTAACTTAAAAAAAATATTTAATGTTTACATGTTGATATTTAATTTTTTTTAATTAACCCATGTAATACATGAGTTTCACACCTAATTTATATTTATAAACGTTTTTAGAAAAGCCATTATATGAATAATTTTTTAAGGAAAAAAACAATTTGACCTGATAAAGTCAGTTAGTAGGTTTTAGAAGTTTAGTTAACAAATTTTATTGAGGTGACATTCATGTGACAAATATATGACTACATAAGCAAAATCGGGTTATATCAAACAAGTTTCTCCTTTTTCACTAATCGGTTGACACCTTTCTACAATGAATCCTTTATTAGTTGGAAACCAAGAAAACTTGAGATGAAATTACAAGTGTGGAGTTCAAGTAACAAGATGTACGTCTTGGACATATTTCAACTGATACATAAATTTTTATGGGCGCCATAAATTTCAAATAAAACTTGAAATTGTTTAAATTATATATATATATATATATATATATATATATATATATATATATATATATATATATATATCCTTATGTGTTAGGATGCAACAGTAGCGGTATACTGGTTAGAGTACTAGTAGGTTGGTTATCATCTAGTGGAATGCCCTAGGGGCTTTATGTAGGCATGTAGGATAGCCTGAGAACTCTTGATCTAGGCTTTCTTGCCTATTCCTTATTTGGTTGTGGCTCTAGAGTAGGATCATCCGTTCGGGTGGCTATCTCACCTCTAGTTCCTTATGGTTATGCATTCCATGGAGAGTTGCCGGTAGTGGAGCAGTGTGTTATGAATGGTCTAGTAGGCGTATTGATCTATATGATTGGTAGTTGCATG